CGGAAGGTATTGGCGCTGGACGGCAGTCTTAAAGTGCAAGCCGTCCCGTCGTCGTCATCCTCGGAGTCCAAATCGGCCGAGTCGCCCGAGTCGGCCGCGTCGCTGCTGCTGGCGGCACCGTGGAACATGGGCATCCTGCCGCAGACGTGCGTTCTCGCGCCGCGATCCATGTCCATGTTCTTCCACTGGGGTGTAGACGAAAATCCAGCTGAAGCGAGAGAAAGAGAACAGAGAAATGCTGTTATCGGGGATAACGGTGATGATGATTTGGGCGGTGGAGATTATGTGAAGGATTTCAAGGATTCGCTTGTAACCGCATGCGACAACTCGCCGCTTGAAGCGCTCGAGATTGGGTCGCACTCGCGCGAGCCTGGCGACGTGTACGATGTTTTGCCGCTGCTGGCGATGCCCTTGCGACTGATGGGGGCGGAGCGAAACAGCATGCCGATTTCGTGGAGGATTGTAACCATCGCAGCGGACGACGAGCTCGTGACAAGCGGGAAGCTGAAAAATTTTATCCGCAGCCGATTGGACGAAGTGCGAGATTGGGCAGAAAGAACAGAGTTCTGCAGTGAAATCGCAGGAGCAGGTACAACCTCCTCCGGACAATCCACCATATCATCTCAACATCACCACCATACCTCGCCTCTATCATTCTTTTTTTTTTGGGTTGCGAAGCAACCCTTTACGATCGATTTTGCCAAATTTTATTTTCATGTTTATATTTTTTAAAAAAATCATGAAAATAAATTTTGTCAACTACAGTACTACCCTTCCCAAACTGTATGCATGTTGAGCAGTTTTGAATACGGTACTGTTCATAGTGCATTATTCCATATGAATATTTTGCAATTGTTTAGTGGAGATTTGCTGTACTGTTTGCATTATATGTTACTGTTAGATGATGTTGTGTAATGATGAAGAGGTGCATGCTTAATGCATAAATGATGCTATACAATGCATAATGCATACAATGATGTATATAATGCATGTGATATGTGATGAATGATGCACATGCACATGATAAAATGCGTGACAGTTAACAACCCAAAAACTAAGCTATCGCCATCCCCTGCCTAGCATGGGGGGGAGGTCAATAGCAAAATCTTTGAATAATCAACTAGCACATGAAAAAATACAATCTGTCAACTCTAAAAAAGAGGTTCACTCTATCAAATCCAGTTCGAAGTGGCAAACACACGAGTCACTGAGTGCGCCAATGAACCAATTAGAAATGATAGAAATGAACCCTCTTTTTAAAATTGACAGACATGCATTGATATTGCAATGACAGATGAGATGAATGCACTCACACGAACAAACACATTCACACAATAAAAAACACGAGCTCCGGCAAACCCAGCCAAAAAACACTAGATACACGCGAACTACATAACAAGTAAATCAATGTTAAAAGGACAATACGATAAATCCTAGTGACCAATACACATTTTCTGGATTGAAATCGCGTTCCTGACCGGAAAGGCCCCTGACAAACGGGTTTAGGAAGTGGAAAGGAGGAACGGAAATGAATAGCCGGTACAACAAACAAAACAGAAAAAAGGCATAAGGTGTGATGAAATGAAGAGAAACAGGAATAACGAAGAAACAAATGAATCAATACAAGGGCTAAGAAAAACGCCGTGAGCATTGAATGGTTAGACTTGACAAAGAGCATGGAGAAGAATCTGACGAGGCATAAAACGAAAATAAGGAACGGGAATAGAGGAACAAAATACCGAGACAGTAAACGAAAGAAGAGAATATAACGAATACAGAGAGTGAGAAAACGAAGAGCGAGAGCGAGAGCAGGAGCGAGAGAGGACTAGAGAGAGGGGACGAGAGAGAGGGGACGAGAGAGAGGACGAGAGAGAGAGAGAGAGAGAGAGAGAGAGAGAGAGAGAGAGAGAGAGAGAGAGAGAGAGAGAGAGAGAGAGAGAGAATGAGAGAGAGGGAGAGAACGAGAGAGAAAACGAGAACGAGAGAGAGAGAACGAGAGAACGAGGACGAGAGAGAGAGAACGAGAGAGAGAACGAGCGAGAACGAACGAGAGATAGAGAGAGTGTTCAATAAATTACGATTTCTACGATTTCGAAAAAAAACATGTGTAAAAACAAGATCTAAGCCGACCTAGTTTAGATCTAAGCCGTCCTGTGTTAGAATTAAGTCGACCTAACAAGTATCGAACGCGTTTAAGTTGCAAGTTAGGAGCTTACCTAGCGGAAGTCCCGTAGCCCGTCAGCAGAACGAGAGGAAGTAGGAAAGGGAGGGCTAACTAAGAATAGGAAGTAAATGACGACAATAAGAGCTTACATCTTACCATGAGCTAACAACTCTAAATGACATCTTAAACTTTCTGACCTTGGAGTGGTAGGTGGAGCGTAAGTAGCGTGAGGCAAAAGAACAAGCTCCACTGGCGAGAAGAAAAGAGAAAGAGAAAACGAATACCTAGAACCTAGAACATAGGCTTAATCAAACTATTTTTTTAAAACGCGGCCAACACAAGAGTAAACAACTATGGTACGAGATTAACGCATGCTAGTCTCGCTAGAAATCAGGTAACTTAATTCTACTTGAAACGGTAAGGTAGAGTTGTTCTCACCTTAGTAGGAACGGGTAGGTGGGGCGTGAGTAGCGGGGAGCTAAACCAGCGAGCGGAAGGGAGGGAGAATGAAAGGAAGAGCCAACCTAACAAAGTGTCAGATTCGTCGTTATGTCATGTACTTTGGAAATTCATGTTGCTTTTCTGTGCAGTAGCGCTAGTGCAGTCGGTAGGGTAAAGGCGTTGGATATGAAGGAGGTAGGTTCGAATCCTGCTGAAGCTGCTTTTTCGAGTCTTGCTATATATGTCAATTACCACAGGTTTTTATTAAAGTATTCGCACTTGTAGAAAATTGTGTACATGTCGTTATGTAAAATGTAAAAATTTGTGTACATATCGTTATGTAAAATGCTTCGCAACCCTAAGACGATTTCGTCGCCTCTTGTTTTGGTTGTAATGCGTGTACTTCAGGTTTCACCTTTTGAAACATTCTTTCGCCTTCTTTTTTGTTACCATTTGGTGTACAGGCCGAGCGGTCAACAAATTCGCCAAACTTCTCCCCTCTTTCTCATTCGTCGAAAGGCGTTTTGCGGGCGGAGCATCGGTTCCTGGGGAGCGCGGAGCCGGTTGCGCAGAGGACGGGGGGAAGCAGGCGGAGCAGCAACACGAAGGGGAGGAATGCATTTGGGAAGCTAAGAACACGTGGACGAATCGGAAAGCGAAGAAACGGATAAATCCCGCCGCGCAGAGAGCGGCGCAAGCGGCGGCGGAAGCGGCGGAAGCCGCGGCGCAAGCAGCGGCGGAGTCGGCGGCGGAAGCGGAGCGCACGATCCGTTACGCGCACCGCACGTGGCGGATCCTGTGCCACTCGCTGCGCCGCCCCGTGCTGCGGCGCATACTAGCGCATGTACCGGAGAGCCATGGGCGGGAGCGCGCGGAGGCGGCGCAAGCGGCTGTTAGACAGCTGGAGGGGGGCGGGGGAGGAGATGCGGAAGCGCAGGGGGAGAAGGGACATGGGGGGAAGGGGCATGGGCATGGGCATGGGCATTGGCACTTGCATTGGCATAAGCATGGGGATGGGCATGGGCACAAGCATTGGCACAAGCATGGGCCAGGGCATGATGGGCATAAGCATAAGCATGGGCATGGGCAGGAGGAGGGACAGGAGGAGGAGAAGCAGGAGCGGAAATCACCAAAGGGACACGAGGGAGGAGGTGTGAGCAGTGGCAGCAGCAGCAAGGGCGTGCCTGTTGCTGCCTCTGCTGCATTCTCGGCTGCGTTTAAGACTGCTTCTGCCTCCGCCCAAGACTGGCCTCGCAAGCACTCTCATGCTCACGCGCAAGTGCTCACGCTCGCGCACCCACGGCCGTTGTCAGCGTCTCTCGCTGCTGCTGGTGCTGCTGGCGAGTCCCCCAGGGAGCACGCTCGCTCGCACGCTCTCTCACTCTCACGGCCGTCGTCAGCGTCTCTCGCTGCTGCTGCTGCCGCTGTTGTTGCTGGTACTGACGAGTCCTCGCGAGAGCAGGGTCACACGCAGGATGCTCATAGCGAGACTCGTGACGAGTCTTATAACGAGCCGCATAATGAGTTAGCGAAAGAGTTTTATACAGAGTCTCAGAACGAGCCTCAAAAGGACTCCCGTGAGAGTTCTTTTAACGAGTCGCGTAATAGGCTACACAAGGAGTCTCATACGGAGTCTCCTAGTTCTCATCACGAGTCGCACAAGTGGTTCCAGAAGCATACTCACAAGGAGTCTAACGGAGAGTTCCCTCAGTCTCATCACGAGTCGCACAAATGGTTCCACAAGCATTCTCATAATGAGTCTCATGCCGATTCCCCGCATTCTCCGCACGAGTCCCACCGGTGGTTTCACAAGCATTCCCACAGGGACTCTCGTGCTGACTCTCCTCATTCTCATCACAGCGAGTCCCGTAAATGGTTCCACAAGCATTCTCACAGGGTCTCTTTCGACGTGCCTCATAACGAGTCCCACAAGTGGACTTATAAGGAGTCTTTTAAGGAGTCTCCAAATCAGGCCCAAAAGCACCACCCCCTTTTTAAGCTAATCCATCCCTCCCCATCCGCGGGGGATCTCGGAACCACCAGCAGCGCCGCTTGGAGATTAATCGCTCCTCCGGAGAGCTATGGCCTTCCGGGTCTCATCACCCCTAAAGGCGGAGACGGCCTAGGGGGGAGCGGAGGAAGGGGCGGGCGAAGAGGGGAGAGAGGAGGGGGGGAAGGTGCGTGGGGCGGGGGGAGCAGCGTGCTCAGGCAGAGACAGAGGCACAGCTGTACAGACCTCACGGATCTTGCCTCTGTGGGGGAGGGGAAGCAGCATGAATGGCTTAACAGCCCTGCTTCCGCTGGTTACAAGGAGTTTGGAGGAGGAGGAGGGACAAATGCAGGGGCAGGGGGGTCGCTGCATGGGACCGGTAAAAGAAGCGGGCTTCGAGTTTTCATGGGGGAGAGACCCGGGGGTTATGAGAAGCATGAGTGGCTGCGCAGTCCGTCTGCCGGTCAGGGGATTCTTTTTTCTGCCCGGGATGCTGTGGAGGGGGCTAAGGGCGTGGCTGATAAGGTAGCAGGCGTTGCTGCGAAACGCATTGCTGTGGCGGGGGCTGTAGCGGGGACTGTAGCGGGGACAGTGGCAGGGACAGTGGCAGGGACAGTGGCAGGGGCTGTAGCGGGGACGGCAGAGCACGTGGCTGGGAATGTGGCAGGGGCAGCAGGAGTGGTGGCGGGGAAAGTGACTGGGGCGGCAGGCGTGGTAGGAGGCTCGGTGACTGGCGCAGCTGGTAAGGTAGCCGGGGCTGCAGGTACGGTAGCAGGTACGGTTAAGGGTGCTGCAGGTACTGTAGTAGGTACGGTAGCTGGGGCTGCAGGTACGGTAGTAGGTACGGTAGCCGGAGCTGCAGGTACGGTAGCCGGGGCCGCAGGTTCGGTAGCTGGTACGGTGGCAGGTACGGTTGCAAGTTTACCCAGGGGCGCGGTGGGGGTTGTGTCTCGCAGAGTGCGGAATATAGGCGCGGGGGGGAAGGCGATGAGTGCGCGTGTGCGCAGAGGAGCAGAGGCTCGGATTGAAGCTGCACAGAGCACTGTGAAATCGGTGAGTGCGCGGGTGCAGCGGGGCGCCGGGGCTAGCTTCGGAGTAGCTCGGAATGCTGTGGAGGAGAGGCTCGGGATGGGCCAGCATGGTTCGGAAGAGAGGCTCGGGATGAGTCGGCATGGTTTGGAGGAGAGGCTCGGAATGAGTCGGCATGGTTCAGAAGAGAGGCTCGGGATGGGCCGGCATGGTTCGGAGGAGAGGCTCGGGATGAGTCGGCATGGTTCGGAGGTGAGGCTCGGAATGAGTCGGCATGGTTCGGAAGAGAGGCTCGGGATGGGCCGGCATGGCTCAGAGGAGACGATCGGGGTGGGCCGGCATAGCTCAGAGGAGAGGCTCGGGGTGGATTGGCATGGTGTGGGGGGTGGGAGTGCAGTGTTTGAGTCGTTTGAATTGGTGGGTGAAAATATTTCGGAGGGAGGGAGTGAAGCACTAGAGTCGTTTGGAAGGGTTGGTGAAGCTAGTTCGGAGGGTGGGAGTGTGGTGTTAGAATCGTTTGAAAGGGCAGTTGAAAATGGTTCGGAGGGTGGGGGTGTGGTTCTAGAATCGTATGAAAGGGCGGGTGAAGCTGGTTCGGAGGGTGGGAGTGTGCTGGGGATGCCACAAACAGAGGCAAATCTTGGCACCGAGGTGAGTTCTGGTGCAGAGGCGATTGGAGCGTTTCAAAGCGGTTTGGAGGAGTATGATAATGTGCGGGTGCAGAGAGAAGGCTCAGGGGCGCATTCAGATTTGGAGGCGTCTCAGCGGAGTGAGGGTGCAGCGAGTAATGACTCACCTGAAAGAGAGGTGGAGAGCAAGAGAGGGGGAGTGCAGAGCGGTACGGAGGAGTCTACGAGTGGCAGAGTGCGACGAGAAGGCTCAGGGGCGCATCCTAATCTGGATGCGTCTCAGCGGAGTGAGGGTGCCGTGAGTAATGACTCGCGTTTATGCGAGTTGGAGAACACGAGTGGGGGAGTGCAGAACGGTGCAGAGGAGTGTAGCAGTGTGAGAGCGAGGCGAGGAAGCTCAGGGGCGCATTCGGATTTGGAGGAGTCTCAGCGGAGTGAGGGTGCAGCGAGTAGTGACCCGCCAGAAAGAGAGGTGGAGAGCAGGAGTGGGGGAGTGCAGAGCGGTGTGGAGGAGTCTAGGAGTGTGGGAGTATTAAGAGGCGGCTCAGGGGCACATTCTAATCTGGAAGCCTCTCAGCGGAGTGAGGGTGCAACTAGTAGAGACTCGCCAGAACGCGAGGTGGAGAGAGAGAGTGGGGGAGTGCAGAGCGGTGCAGAGGCGTGTTCTGAGGCACCAGGGAGTGAAGTGAGGACTGCAAGTGGGGGAGTGGGAAGCGGGGGGCCAAGGGAACACGAGGAATCTGCAGGGAAGCAAGCGGAAAGTCCGACGTACCACGAAGAAAGTCTGAGGCAGCGCGAGGAAAGGTTGAGGCAACTTGAGGAAAGCCTGAGGCAACGCGCGGAAAGCCTGAAGCAACAGGAGGAAAGCTTGAAGCAACGATTTGCGAAGTCCAAGAGCAGGAAAGCCAAAGGAGGGATCGGAGAGATTGACAGGCTGGTTGTTTCTGAGTCTGAAGAAAGCAGGAGGAGCGGGAAGGGCAGAGGGATCAGGGGGAGCAAGAAGGGCAAAGAGGGCGGAAGAAGGGGAGGGAGTGGAGAAATTGGAGGGCTGATTGTTTCTGAATCTGAAGAAAGCAGGAGTGGAAAGGGCAAAGGAAAGGGAGCGATCAAGAAGGGCAAAGGGGGCAGAGGGAGTGGAGAGATTGGAGGGCTGGTTGTGTCTGAGGTGACTTTTGAGTCGACTCTTAAGTCACCTCAAGGGCTGGTTGTGTCTGATTCGGAAGAAAGCAGGAGGAGCGGAAAAGGCAGAGGGATTGGAGGGAGCATAAGGGGCGAAGGGGGCGGAAGGAGTGTAGGGAGTGGAGAAATTGGAGGGTTGGTTTTTTCCGAGTCTGAAGAGAGCAGGAGGAGCGGAAAGGGCAGAGGAAGTGGAGGGAGCAAGAAGAGCAAAGCGGGCGAAAGAAGTGGCGGAAATGGGGAAAGTGGAGGGTTGGTTTTTTCTGATTCTGAAGGCAGCAGAAGGAGCGGAAAGAGCAGAGGAAGCGGAGGGAGCAAGAAGGGCAAAGTGGGTGGAAGCGGAAAGAAGGACAGGAAGGGAGGAGGTGAGGAGGGAGAAGTGAGCAGTCGCAGGTGCGAGTCCCTCCTTATAAGCACAAAGCACTGTAAAAGAGACCCCCTTGATAAAATGGCAGTGAGCCCTCCTCTTTCCACACCAGCAGCCTCTCCTCCTCTTTCCCCCTCTTCCATCTCACCTCCTCATACTCCATCTCAGAACCCCCCTCTTCTTCCCTCTCACTCCACTCTTTCTTCCACCTCTAGCTCTAATGCCCTGTATGATCATGCAGCTGCCTCCTCTTGTGAGTCAACTCACAAGTCAGCTGGAGCAGGAGCAGGAGAGGCAACTACAGGAGCAGGAGCAAAAGCAGCAGCAGGACAAAGAGCATTAAGACGAGTGAAATCAGCAGGAGGAGCAAAAGCAGCAGCAGGAAAAGCAAAAGCAGCAGCAGGAGAAATAAAAGCAGCAGGAGCAGAAGCAGCAGCAGCAGGAGAAAACGCAGCAACAGGAGGAGCAGGGGAAGGAGCAAAAGCAGCAAAAGGAGCAAAAGTAGCAAAAGGAGCAAAAGTAGCAAAAGAAGCAAAAGCAGCAAAAGGAGCAAAAGCAGAAGCAGCAGCAGAAGGAGCAGTAGGAGAGGGGGGAGGAGCAGGAGAGGGGGGAGGAGCAGCAGGAGCGGGGGAAGGGGCAGCAGGCGTGGGGGAAGGGGAAGTGGTTGCAGTACGAAAGAGGACTACACCTCAACCTCGACGTGTAGCAACCAGCAGGGAGGATGAAACAAGCACAGCTGCACCTGATGCACTTGCTCCTGCTGATGCGACTGCAACCCTTGCTCCTGCTGATGTGCAAGCAACATCTGCTCCTATTGCTTCACCTACAGCATTTGCTCCCACTGCTGCGCCTGCTGCGTGTGCTCTCGCTGCTGCACCTGCTGCTGATGGGACAGCGGTGTGTATGAGTGGTGAAGCCACTGCACCTGCAGCTTATGAGCCAGTAATGTGTGAGAGCAGTGATTCTGCCACTACACCTGCTGCTGCGCCTGCGCTTGTAGAGGGAGTGCGGCACAAGTATGGGACTGCTGCTCATACTACATCTGCTGATACTGCTCCTGCTGTTGCTGCTCCTGCTGTTGCTGCTCCTGCTGTTGCTGCTCCTGCTGTTGCTGCTCCTGCTGATACTGCTCCTGCTGTTACTGCTCCTGCCGATAAAAGGGCAGCAGAACGAAAGGTTGGGATTAAAGCTGCTACACCTGCTGCTGCTCCACCTGCTGTTGCTGCTCCTGCTACTGCTCCTGCTGCTGCTCCTGCTGCTGCTCCTGCTGCTGCTCCTGCTGCTTCTGCTGCTGCTGCTGCGCCTGCTGCTTCTGCTGCTGCGCCTGCTGCTGGCGAGGCCAGTCATGCTGCAGCGCTATCTGCCAGCAGTGCTCGACTTTCTTCCAAGCCTTCATGGAAGCGTTTTCCATCGTTACGGCCATGTGTTGCGTGTTTTAGTTTTGACAAACAGACCCTGGCAGAGCCAGCAGATGATTCGCCAGCGGGTCTTGTGGTCAGGCAGACTCAGACGGGTAGTGCTACGTGAAGTTGTAGAAATTTGGGGGGGGGGGGGGGGGGGGGGGGGGGGGGTTCTAGCTTCTTAAAACGTATTAATATGTAAATGTGATGAAGCTACCGCTAAATCCTAAAAAGCTAAGTGCAAAGCAGAACAACTTAATAGCAGTTGATTAACTGTTTACTGTGAACAAATAAAATCTAGGATAGACCGATTATATAACACACATTGTGGAGTTTAGTGCAGTCCAGACCACGTCCTGTGTTAATTCGAATTGTACCACAGCGAACCCAGTCAAGTGTGTCACCTGATTTGTCTTGTACTGTACGCGCTCTCCACTCACCCTTGTGTCAGTGCAACAAGACAAGAGGTCGCTCCCATGTACAGTCGATGCTCAGCCTATCACAAAACATTTGCTCGCCACTATTAGAAATTTAGTCACTCGCGAAATTGACCATTGTGACTAAATTGACCGTTGAGCCGATTTCGGGGTACAGTCACCAAGTTGAGGAAGAAAAACATCTACAGTTCATAAACAACAGCGGTGGCCCGTCATTTAAAAAGTTTACCTGGCTCCGAAATTAAGGCCCATGACTTGATTCACAAGGCAATTTCGGCCATTTTCAGGTGCATGCCGTTTAGTCGAGGCGCGCTTTTCAGGTGCATGCCAGGTTGCGTACACTTGTCTGAGTTTAAACTATGTCTCTCGTAATTGTACACACTGTTCAAGATTCGATTAAATTTGACACAAAATGTCTGAAATAGATGCTATTTCGGGCTACGCAAATCGGGATCGGAATGGTTGGCTCTCGATGCTTCATTTTCTGACGTCACTCAGTGCAATGATTGCATTTCTGCCCAATTTCTACGCAAATGTTTGCTTCGCACCAACTCATTTCGAACGAATCTAATGTTAGATCTGTTGTACTGTTGACGCAGATGACGGACGCTGCACATGGCAAATCAGCAAACCGTTCGTGAGTGTTTGTAAATTATTGCCTCTACCAAAAAATGTTTTTTGGTATCTGGGCATGGAATCTGGGCATCCTGCCGCAGACGTGCGTGCTCGCGTCGCGATCCATGTTGATGTTCTCCCGCTGGGATGCCACGAATGGTGGTGATGCGCCGCCGGCTGTTAAGGAGCTCCGCGATTCGCTCTTACTAACGGCGTGCGACAACGCGCCGCTGGAGGCGCTGGAGATTGGGTCGCAAGCGCGCGACCCTTGCGACGCGTACGACGTTTTTCCGCTGCTAGCGATACCCCTGAAACTCCTGGGGTCCGGGCGAAACAGCATGCCGATTTCCTGGAGGATTGTAACCATCGCAACGGACGACAAGCTGGTGGCGAGCGGGCAGCTGAAACATTTCATGCTGCAGAAATTATTGGATCGCGTGCAAGACTGGGCGAAAACGTCGGAGTCATTCGGAGAGATCGTGGGACCAGATATGCGAATCTTGAGCGAAATCGGGTTACCAGGCCGACCAGGTTTGCCTTAGAACTTTTCGTATGCCGTTTCCCTCCCCTTCCTCTCCCCCTCCTTCTACCCCCCCTCTGCCTCTCAACTCCCCAGCGTGTTACATTGCCTCGCAGGCAAATTGTCCTTCCTTCCCACTTCCCTCCTCTTCTTCCTTACTTTGTTCCTTTCTTCATTCCCTCCCTTCCTTCCCCTCCTTCCATCCTTTCCTCACTCCTAGCATATCGTATCCTTCCTCCCCACCTTTCTCCACGCACACCTTGAAACCAATCTCATTATTTATCGTCGCTCTCCCCTTGAATGGGCTTTCCAACCCACATTTGTTTTTCGAGCTAAGGCCGTCTCCAAACGCTCTAAGGCCCTTTCCCGCCCCCAACCCCCTCCTCCTCTATCCCTCCTTCTTCCCACTCTCCCACTCTCTCCCCGCTTTCCCCTCATCCCCGTAGGTCGCGCACCAAATCCCTTCTTCGGCGCCTACCCGTCCCCCTCGCCCGCGGAAGCAGCGGAAAGAGCGGCGCGAGAAACGCCATCCGGAATTCAAGCCTCCAGGAAAAACCACGAGGCGGAGGAATGGGGCAGAATCTCGCGAGCCCGTAGAGGATGAGGAGGAGGAATGGGATGAGACAAGAGAGGCGGAGGAGGCGGAGAAAGCAGCAGAGCGAGCAAAGGAAGCGGAGCAGACGGTGCTGTATGCGCACAGCACGTGGCGCATCCTCTGCCCCACGCTGCGCCGCCCCGTGCTCAAGCGCACGCGTCAAGCCCAAGCCCAAGCCCAAGCCCTCGCCCTCGGGAAGAAAGGATACAGCCCTCGGCACCGCCACCAGTCCGAGATACAGCGGCAGTAGCCTGAGCGGCATGAGCAGCGACAGAAGCAGCGGCAGCAGGGGCGGCACGATAAGCTATCGAGCAACCCGGTGCCTTTATGCTCGTCAGCCGATGCTCTGCCGGTCTCCTCTTGGTCCTTCGCCACCTCTCCCACCTCTCCTTCCATCTCTCCGTTCTCCTCCTCCAAATCCCCTTCCCCTCCGTTCTCCTCCTCCGCTTCTCCTTCCTCGAGCTCCAACCGTCGCTCCTTGTCCTTCCTGCTCTAGCCTCCCCATCTGCCTCTACCTCATCCTCTCCTTTCTCTGCCTCGGCCTCATCGCTGTGTTTGGCCAGTGCAGCAGCGACCTCCAACCGCCGGGAATCGTACCAGATCTGCCAGACGAAATCCGCCACGGGATTTGATGGCAGCACGGGTGCGTGGCGGCGGATTGCTCCTCCAGAGAGCTATGGGCTTCCGGGGATGGTGTCCCCTATGCGGCAGAGAGGGGGAGGAGGAGGGGGAGGAGGAGGAGGAGGAGGAGTAGGAGGAGAAGGGGGGGGAGGAGGAGGAGGAGGAGGAGGAGGAGGAGGAGGAGGAGGAGCAGGAGGAGGGGAGAAAAGTGGAGCTGGAAGGAAGCACAGGCACAACCACAGCATAGACTTTGCTGCTATGGTGAAAAACAAAGATTGGCTACACAGCCACGACTTTGCTGCCATTATGAAGCACACAGACTGGCTACATCACCCTGAGTCTGCTGGTCAGTGTCAACGGGAGTTGTGTTTTGGCCCCGTCCTCGCTTGGGCGGAGCCGACATCGTGGTCGGGTGTGAGGGGAGCAGCCGACCTGCAGCAGAGGGCGAGCTGGTTGACGAGGAGGTCGACCTGCACGGGGACCACTGCGCGGGCGCCGACTTCAGGGTGGCGCCAACTTCGAGGAGGTCGACTTGGGAGTCGACCTGCGGAGGACGTCAACTTGGTGATGTCAACTTGGGGAAGCCGACTTCGGTGGTCGGCTGAAGGACTGTTGGTCGACCTGCGGGTGGTCGACTGGACCTGTTGGTCGACGAAGGAGGGGCCGACGTCGAGCAGGACTCAGGACGCCGAGCAATTGGGCGTCGAGTAGCGAGGCGTCAACTTTGTGACGCCAACTTTGGGTGGCCGATGTGGGTGGTCGGCCGACGACTGTGCTGGTTAACGAGGAGCAGGCCGACCAGGAGTACTGGTCGACGTGGAGCTGGTC